AGACCCCCAGTCATGCCTATGTGAGTGAACCTCCCCATAATTCCATTCAGCATCTCAACACAGTCAACACAGCAAGTCTAACCGCTTGACACCTAGGAAACTCGAAGGAAGCTGCCAATGCGGCAGCGTTGAATTTACCCTCCAATCACACACACCTGTCCCCTATCAGCTGTGTACCTGTAGCATCTGCCGCAAATTAGGCGGATACATCGGCGCCGTGAACCTCGGCGGCATTGCAGAGAGCTTGCATATCACCAAAGGCAAAGACATGATCAAGTACGACCCCACCCATTCTGTACATTTACCACCGCTAGCCCCGACAAGAGCCTGTGGTTCCATACATCTCACCAGGAATTCTGGAACATCCATGTCTATACCAAGTACTGACTTTGTGAGCAGAAAATACTCCGCCATCAAAAACCGCGGCACAGCAGATGAAGAGGTTTGCTCATCTGAGCGGAACTTTTGTTCGAATTGCAGTACCATGCTATGGCTTTGGGACCGTCAGTGGCCCGAGTTAATTCACCCATTCGCATCCGCAATCGATACAGAGCTGCCGGTGCCGGATGAAATGGTATGCGTAATGGTGGGATCGAAGCCGGCTTGGGCACGGTTGCCGGAGGGCAAAAAGAGTGTACATGAGTTGTATGGTGAGGACAGCATCGAACAATGGCACAAGCGACATGGACTCTTTGTCGAGTAACACGGTTACTGTGAGCATGAGCGAAGCGGTCCCGTTGCAACAAGCAGAGTGCTGTGTGATGCCGCTGGGTTTAAGAAATGTCTTCGCAAGCCCGCTGTGAGACCAGGCGGGAATACAGTCATACGGTGTTACGAAATTGAAAGAAGGCAAGAGATTAAAGAAATTGTATTGGTATTAAACTCGTACTGGATGACCTTCGGCTCCTAAGATGCATGTTAGCAGACGATCATATCGCGAGACCAGTGACATGATAGGCATCAATGCAAGTATCAGTTCTCCAAGGTGAAATAATATTGTATCGACACGGTGATTCGGTAAGAACACAGCGAATATTAAGGGTTCATCATGTAGAGAGGGAGGAATGGATGCAGTGTAAACTCACGGTCAACGAGCTAAACGGCCAACCTGGCGGTATTCCTATTTGTTCACTTATGTCGAGTCAGCGGTGGCATTCAAGCAAGACGTGTGAGTCAAAAGCATAATCAAGACATGGCAACTAAGTCAGGCTTCAAGTCAGTCAGCATGAAACACGAGTACCCTCCATCGAAAAGAGTCACATACCTCATTAAATCAGATTTTTGTATAAATGTTCATTCCCGGACCGAAGTCCAAGTCCAACAGTGTGAATAACACATTCATCATGATAGGTATGACCATGTTGAGGCAGGGGATAAGGAGATGAGTGATAAATTACCTAGAGATTCTGTTAGAATGGGTCTCAACTTGTCAATTTGACGTAAAGATTTTCATGACAAGGGCATTGGTTCAGGTGACGAATTCTCAACAAGTAATCCACTTCCCAGACACCCACAGAGTTTGTACGCTCCGTTTTTGTTAGGGCGAATGGGAGATGGGTACGTTATGTCCGCCCGTTCGTTCAAGATTTCTTCATGCTAGGCAACAGCCGCAATGGAGGTGAGGGATGAATCCAAGTGTGATTTACCTGAGCGATAGATTGTTAGTCGAAGATCACTCAATCAATGGTTTGTAAAAATGATAATGATGATGTCGGGTCAGACAAGGCTGAAACTTAAAAGTATGACAGATTCAACATGGATCTTCTGCTTGAGGAATGCCTTTGCATGTCTATAATATAATCATCCCCGGGGTTGGGGCGAGAGCGGGAGTCTTTTCTTACCTTTTGAAAATATTGCTAGAACTGCTCGCAGCGCAGAGGGTGACCTCAGGCATTGAGTCCAGCTGGAGTTTGTGCCATCATTAGACCCAGTCCAGACATTAGACCCAGTCCAGACTGGAAAAAGAAGAAGAAAAAAAGAGAATCGAGAGCTTGAGAATCCCAAGCGATGCAGAAGGAAGGAAAAATTTTACAAGTGGAGCTCGCTATATAAACTAAGGCGGTCGGCTACGGCAGACGCGTGCGACCTAGGGCGTTGTTTGTCTTGGCATCAAACACCGGCGAAACAGTAGGGCCGAGTGGAGCGTACTAGTTAGGTTGACTTCGCCGAATAACTACGGTGACAGCAAGAAACAGACCTGATTCTGGCTTACATCGGCACATATTGCGCGGGTTATCTGCGTGTTAACGCGCAGTCACCGAGAACTCGTCAGAACCTGTCAGGCGCTTTGTTGCACATATCCCGTGTCCTCCGGCCGAGTGCTGGTTTACCGAGTGCCTCAGTCTTGGACAAGATCTGGTTATCCTGGTCGGTGTCGGGACGTCAAGAACAGAAGACAGGCATATTATATGTGGCGCGCTTCTCTAAGTTTCTCTTTAATACTGAATACTCTCGAGGGCTGCTTGAAGACCCTTGGTGGACGGCAAAAAGAGAACAGTGGCGTGTGTGGGTGCTGATCTCTCGGTGGGGGCAAAAGGAGTAGCTTCCTGGGACAAAGTTGAAAGAGCTAGCCTGGATTTTGAGTCTAATGAGGCTCCTTGTCACTGATCAGAAAGGCGAGGAGCTTCTTCTAGCGAAATGGCACGTTTCGAGTTCTCGGATGAATGAAGTAGTGCTCCGAGGATGAAAGGTGAATGAGAGTCAACAATGCACCGAGACTCCCCTTCACTCTGTGCTCAGGTCGACTATGAAATCATAGATATAGGGCTCATGTGGGTGAAGGTACAAGTGCAGCCACGTCAGGAAGCCCATCATTGATCACGGAATTAGTCCAGTTTGTGCGGTCAAGCATCGTAGATATCTGGAGAATCCCAGCTAGCCACCTGACGTCCTAAAGAGCTCATTCATTCGTCATCAGCCTGCTGAATCATATATCTGAGTAAAATTGACGTAAATGTGGATGATTTATCAACCTACCATTCTGACCTATTTGGACTCGAACCTGCGCTCTTAGGACGACAAGGCTACCTAGTATTGGAGTATTGTTGACACAAACGAAGTCAAAATGCCCACCAGATGGAAATTGAATACAGGTGCAGAGATCCCAGCCATTGGATTTGGCACCTGGCAGGATCAGTCAGAGCAAGAAGCTGCTGTAGCGGAGGCTATCAAGGCGGGATACCGCCACATTGACACTGCACGCGTGTAAGTACTTAGACCTTTCTTCTTGGCCGGAATGGGCAGTACAATCAATCTTCGATGCTGACTACGGATTAGTTACGGCACCGAGGAAGCCGTCGGTAATGGCGTCAAAAAAAGCGGCATTCCACGAAATGATATCTTCATCACCACAAAGCTCTGGAACAACAAGCATCACCCTGACGATGTGGAGTCAGCTCTGCAGCAGTCCCTGAATGATCTCAAAATGGACTACGTTGATCTGTATCTGATGCACTGGCCTGTAGCTTGGAAGCGAGGCGAGGATCTCTTTCCAAAGGAAAATGGGAAGCCGGCCATGGAGTCCATTGACATCGTCGACGTATGGTGCCATCTTAGATCCCGTGTTATGATGCCAAGAGTGCTGACAAAAGCCCAGACGTATAAAGCAATGGAAAAGCTGCTGAAGACCGGCAAAGCCAAGGCGATTGGAGTCTCGAATTGCGACCAGTCTGAGATGATGCGCCTAGTCAATGAGTGCACCATCGTTCCTGCTGTGCACCAGATTGAATGTCACCCATGGCTGCAGCAGCATGACTTCACAGAATGGCATCGAAAGCATGGTATACATGTGACACACTACTCGCCGTTTGGAAACCTGAACACCATTTACAGTGCGAAAGGCAAAGGTGGAACTGAGAAGCTCGTCGAGGAGCCCGTGTTGATCGAGATAGGCAGGCAGTATGAGAGAACGGCTGCTCAGGTTGCCCTTGGTGAGTTGGATCTGTCCATGCTGCGTTTCAGGATGCTAACCGCGGTGTGTGGCAGCTTGGGGGGTTTCGCAGGGTCACTCAGTGCTGCCAAAGTCCAAAACACCTGCAAGAATCAGGTCCAACTTGGACGGAGACTTCAAACTCAGCCCGGAAGACATGGCGAAGATCGCGCAAATTAACAGGAAGATCCGTTTCAATGACAGCAGTGGCGAGTTTGGCAGGGATTTCTTTGTTGATCTGGAAGGAAAGTAGTGGCATATTTGTTGCGTTCGTTTAAAATAAAAGCAAAATCCATTCCTAAAACAAGTTCATGTACTTGTAGTCTTGTACACAGTTGTAATGTGTAATGTACCTAGCATAAACTGCGCTGATGCACTTGAAATGTGGAGTCTGGACGTCGGATCGAGCCTCACATCGATGACCATGCTCTGTGACGTCATCCACAGGTCGAGCATGGGCAGTTTGATATTCTTTCACTGAATGACAGTTTCAACATCCCAGTCATGTCGCCATCTCATGGTTTTGTTTTAGTAACCCCGGCCTCGCGAGGGTTGGGGTTCGCCTTTGCACAGCAACTCTTGGCACGGACCCAGCTTCCCGTGATCGCAACAGCACGGAAGAACTGCGGCGAACTTCAAGAGAGACTATTGTCGAGCGATGGCGTAGCCGAAGATGCGGAGCAGAGACTTCGCATTCTTCAAGTCGATGTCACAGGTAATGACACAGAATCGGGAACCGCACTTTCTTGACAGCACAAGGATAACCAACTTCGCAGACGAGTCCACGATATCCGCGATGGCAGAGACAATCCGGGAGGAATATCCGGATACCCTCTCAGGCTGGGACTGACCATCCCAGGAATTCTACACGTTGAAAAATCTCCGAGTGAAATTGACTATACCAATGCACTGGACAGCTTCAAGATCAACTCTGTTGGCCCTATGCTGTTCATGAAACATCTCCCAGTTCATCCCATTGAAATCCGCTCCAGCATTCTCCAAATCAGCATCTATATCTGCAAATAACTCCCGCCAACCACTACAGCTACCCTCGCATGCCATCTATGCCATGATGGCCGCTCGTGTCGGCTCGATATCCGACAATGCATCGGGCGGATGGTATTCATATCGGGCAAGTAAGGCCGCTGTGTTTCAATTGGCTAAATCGTTCGATTTATATCTGCACACGAAGAGTGGACAGAGGGCAATGGCTGTTGTGTTGCACCCTGGGACCGTGCGCACGGATTTCACGAAGGAGTTTTGGGGTGGCAGGGGAATGTTGGAGCCGGCCGAGGCAGCTGGAAAACTGTTGGAGGTTTTGATGGGCCTGGCTCCGGATGCCAAAGGAGGGCGAGGGGAGGTGTTGGGATTGGAAAGGAGAGGAGGTTCTGCCATGAGCTTGTTTCAAACCTCATTGTCTTTCCTCCCGAGTTGTTGGGTCGATCCCGGAGCTGCGATTGTATGGTCCCTTCAGTGTACACCGAAATATACAAGGACGCATCTCAGCGGACACTGAAGAGGCCACAGAACTGCAGACCAAAATGACCCCTTAACTAGGAGCCACAAAGATGGACGCGTTGGTGGGGAAAATGAACTATCCATTGACCATTCACGCGATATCACGTGACCTCACGTGAACCCACGCACACTTAAATTCCTCAACCCTTCTCCAGCTTTTTCTTTCTTTTTCTTTTCTCCAGCTTTCTCCCATGCTGTCCCCCTTGGGCACCTGTTGAGACCATGGCTGCTTTCTGAATGGTGAACCTTGTTCCATCTAACCTCTGGGACGACCTGGGAGACGTTTATCTGCAGTTTTATGGCGTCTTCAGCGTCCGTTGAGGATCACTGGAGTGGTCTTCGATGTACGCTGAAGGGGTCATAGAGCTACAGCCGAATGTTCTCAAGTCGTATCGAGTCAGAAGACAGCCTTGTCATGGTTGTGCCCTGAGTTGTAAAAGGATGTCATATGTTCATGTTTCCTGCTGCAACAGAAGCAATCTTGTGCTTTCAATCGCCTGTTCGACTTCCAGGCTGAGGCGGCCTATTTGATAGTCAAGAATTTGATCTAATCACCTTGCAAACATTCTCCTTCAATGTAGTCCTGGCTTGTCTTGTTACACTCAATTGAGCTCTAAATCCTCTTAGCCTTCCGTGCTCTCTCCTACTGCCACCAATGTCACCGCAAACTTCTTGAACACGCCGCATGTGTACTTGCAATCTCCTATCCACGATGTCTTGGCCGCCCAGAATGGCACGCTTTGGATTCGGGACTCCTGCTCTCAAGAGCTTGATACTCATCACCTATCATATGTCTTTACCCACTCCACAATTTTGGGGTATACACCTCAAATACATGTATCACTTTCATACTATACCACCACCATTGCTCTATGCTATTACCTAAAATTAAAGTTGATATGGAAATCATCATTTAGGGCACAACCGAATTTTCGTTTAGTATTTTGTGTAGTAACCTTTTGCAACCCGCACAGCTGCTTTGCGGTATCGAACTTGAGTACACCGGCACCGCCCAACACCAGTCAAATGGAAAGGCTGAGGCCCTTCACCGGATACTTCTCAACAAAGCTTGACCCTCACTCCACGTCACCAACTTAGGTGAGCTCGAAATACTGGAAGGAAGCACTTAGCACCGCGTCGTACCTTCGAGACCGCTCCCCGTCCTCTGTGCTCGACAACATGACTCCATTCGAGGCCTGGCATTGGTTTCAAGCCTGACCAATCACACACTTGAAAATTCGGCTCTGAACCCACTTTCGGGAACCCGGCTGCCACCGGACGTTAAAAAATGCAACAACAACAACACCGGCTTCACCGAGATGCCCCGGGCGTTCATGCCAGGCGCGGGTTCACGGGACAGAGAGGGGAGTAGGCGGCCAGGGCGAAGGGACGGGACGGGAGCGGAGGTCCAGGAGAAATATATTCTCAGTCATGGAGCAGATAAGTTCGCCCGGTACCGCGTTTGATTTCCGCGCCCTTTTCAGTGAGTGACCGTAGCTCCCTTTTCACAAGCTGGGAGACAGATGAGGTTGACCCCGACGCCAGGCGAATAGCGGGCATTCGTGAGAGAAAGTGTGACATCGCGGCCAGCGACACGGCATTGAAGTTTGACTGTTCCAAGGCCGATGGTCTGGCAATCCGCATTGCCAATACTAGCGAGCGTGGGGCCATCCACCTTCTGAAGATCGGAGAAGGAAGGGTTCGCAAAGGTGTGGGACGAGGCACCGGAATCAAACGACAGCAGTGACCCTTCATCTAGTTGGCGATCGCGGAAGAGTCAAGGGCCATCATGACCGACTCGGTAGGTTGTGCATTACCAGCTGTGTCAGCGCGACGCCGTTTCTGCTCCTTCTTGTCTGTCTTTGGATTCAGGTGTGGGTGGCAGAGCTGGTAGCACTCGGACTTCTTGTGCCCACACGGTGCCGCAGTGGGAGCAGAAAGGAATCTTCACGGTGATGTCTTCACCTGAGCTGCCGATTAAGGTCATCTTGTCGGACTTCAAGCCACGAAGGCCACTCTAAGCCTGAGAGCGAGAGACAATTCGAAGGACGGTTGTTCTCCACGGTTGTCGGACTCCTCGGTCAGAATGGCTCGGATAAGGTCATCGACCTTCATGAGCGGAGTGGTCGTGTCAGAGCCGATTCTCGTGACAGTGCGGCCGGCTCTCTGGATGGTCTCGAAAAGGTTCCACTTAGAGGTCCAGGCCAGCCATGACAGTGTTACCCACTGTGCCTCTGGGTTGTCAATCCCGAGTCGCTTGGTTTGCAAGCGGGATATCGCGGAACTCATTTATATACTCGTTGATAGGATCCGATCGTACTTCGAGAGGGAGTCAAGTTGACGCCCTACGAGTTTCGAGTTCAATAAGTTGAGCGTCGGGGCTCAGAGGGACGCATTCCTCAGTATCACTGAGAAGTTTCTTTCCCCTAACTGCATTTTCGATCGTGGCATCAAGGAAGATGTGCTGTCAGATTCAGCTGATCTGGCCGTTTCCGATTCAGACTCGGTTTCTTCAGAGTCAGAGGGACTGAGTCAGAGACTTCGGAGTCCGATATTTCGGTCTCGGAGTCACAGTGACTTGACGTAGTGTCAGTCGACGAGAATGGAAGGCAGGACTTCAGGGGAAGCAAATTGTGTATGCGTTGGAGCACCGTTCTTGTGAGCATGTAGATGGGGCTAAAGGGGGTGTTAGATTTGTTGCTGCGTCACTGTACTTTGAGGGGCGGCGCCGCGGCTCCGGGCCGGCACCTTTCCCGGCGGTGTCTTTCTTTGCCGGCACAACTCGGGAAGTAGTAGCCTAGTAGGTCACGGACTCACGGCACGGGCTCCAGTCCCAAGAAGCGCCGAAGGTGAATCACGCTAAGGTGCCATTGCATGGCTGTTATCTCGTCTGGCAGTGGCGACGCCGCGACCGGAGAGATGCCACAGTAGTTGCCTGGGGACCAAAGGTAGCAGATTCCAGTTCTTGGCGGAATTCCCGCGGATAGATGAGACTGAGAGTAACCGGAGCTCAGGACAACCCCCGGAATACCGAATGATAAGGAATAAATACCTATTGAAGTCTTGAAGAGGTAACTCAAGGCTGCTGGCTGTGTGCTCTGAGGGCACACGCCCACGAGTCGATTCAGCAGATACCACCTAGCATAGACATCAGACCAGAGGTAGCAAAGACTAAAGAAGTTGGGCGCTTGCGCGCAAGTAATTATCAACTTCGGCTACCTCGCGACTACACAGTATAGCAGCGATACACAGCGTGGAAAGGCCACAGTTTCTGCGCAAAAGCCACACTGGCCATCCATTTTCCGTCGTCACTTGGAAGTCCGGGCACCTCCGTATTCTTACTTCAATCATGTCTCAAGCAAATAGTATGTGGTTCAATTCAAAGAAATGCTCTATGTGATGCAATGCAGCTTCCCATGCTAAAAACAACGGTAGGTGTCTAAGTCTAATCAAAAATACAAGCCTTCATCGAGTTAGGCTGGATATACTCGACGCGTTACGGAAGTAGCTGGTGAACTGGCAAATCTGACCAGCCATGGCAATCTCAACATCCAAGTCCTTGGCAAACTGCCACGCAAGACCAGTATCACGCTGGAAAGCACGACCAACAAGGATAACATCAAGATCATCCTCATTCAGGATCTTCTCCACGCGAAGTTTCCATTATTAATCATACCAACAGCAACAAGCATCTTATCACCGACAGCCTTTTGACAGCAGCAAGAGGAACCTGGAAGCCAGCTCTGGAGGTAATCTTCTGAGCAGGGTGCAAACCACCAGTACTGATATCGATCAGATCGACAGCACCTTGAGAAGCAAGCGCACGAGCAGGCTCGAAGTCGTATCCTCAAGCTTCCATCCCTTCTCAGAGGGCATGCTCTCCTCGAGCCAGTCGGTGGCTGAGATACGCAGAAGACAGGCACATTCTCGCCAACAGCGTCACGGGTCAACTGAGCAATTTCCAGCGGCAGTCTGATCCGGTTTTCAATACCACCGTATTCGTCTGTGCGCTGGATGGACGAGGGTTCAGGAAGAAGACGAGGAGAAGGTAACCGTGAGCATTGAATCTCAATGAAGTCACAGCCCGCAGCCATAGCACACGCTTAACAGACGCAACCCAGGCGGTTTAGGCTCAGCGATATCCTGCAGTGTCATGGCGA